GAGGAACCCTAAGAAACTGAAATTAAAGCTGGTGTATTAAGCTTCCAAAATAGAATAGGGGAGACTGTTGGGCCTCCCGTCAGCAGGGGAAGCCCAGGCTTTAGGACTCCCAGTTACCCTTGCTTTGGGTTGAATGTAAAGGAGGTTCCCCACCACGCGTGGCATTACCTGTTCCAAGAAGCCTCTTCCAACACTAGGTTATGTGACCCCTTCCTGAGCCCTTATAACATTCTGGGCTTATTATTTAAGGAAAAATGATCATTTTCATAATATATTTACAATATATATTAGTGTAGGTTTTCCTCACTGGACTAAGAACTCCTTGAGGGTAGAACCGAAACTTCTAGATCATCAAACCCTAGTACTTAGTCCAGCGTCCGTCACGCAGCGGTGTCCTGTAAGTGTGGGTTAAACAAACTGATGGGGGGCAGCATAACCAAGGGTGTATCTGCTTTTGGTCCCAGGAGAATGTTATTTCATTGGAAGAGGAGCTTGCCCTGGTGAGGAGGTCATCCAGCCCTGCTTGGGAGCCCATCCTGGCACCACTACCATCATTATCATCACCACTTATGACTAAGCTACAGACAGGACATATACGAGTAGATGCCACACTTAACCCAGGCCTTTTTCAGCGTAGCATCAGGTCTTGGAAACCTAATACAATCCAGAGGAAGGCACCAGGAAGACTCAAGAGCAGGGTAACATTCATTGCTGCTCATTGTGCCTAATTCCCCAGTGAATCAAACGTGAGACAATAGAGATGCTTCAGCCAAACCCTTGGCTGATAGAAATGGAATTAGCCTGGTTCAAGTCCAAATGATTTGTTGTCTTTGCTGGAATGAGTCTCAGAAATGCCACAGAGTGCCAGAGATGCCAGGGCTGTTGTGTTTACTCTGTGTGGACAGGCCATTAGAGGCACAACGATTTGTTTTTCTTTCAAATAAATTGTTTTCTGATTCCTGAGCCTGGCAGAACAGGATGAGTGTCCCTCAGCAGGGCTCGGTGTCTGTGGGGGTGTTGGGCCAGGTGTGGCTGGTGAGGCCTTCTTCCACCGCTGGAATGTGGCCTCACACTCCTACTGGGTGACCTCTCCACAGGGGTCCCCTTTTTACCCTTGAGGAAATGGAGGCAGAAAGAAGCCATGCAATTACTTGGGGTCTCAAGCCCTAAGTGACAGATCCTTTACACAGGTGGGGATGCTAAGTCAGTCCATGTATCCTCTTAGTCCTCCAAACAGCACATATAAAACAGTCAATAAATGCTAGCATTATTCTGGGGCTATCGGTGATGATTAGGGCCAGAGAATTATGGTTACCTTTACTCTTACTACCCTCAGATGGTGATGGAGCTCAGGAAACTGGCATTTCAAGCCTTGGTTGAACAATCTACCCTATTCTATTCTATAGCCACAGACCACATTCTTAAACTTCGAGGGGACATAGGTTGTCATAATTAGCAACCCGGTGTTTGTGCACAGGTAACATAAATGCAAATATAGTTACATGCAAATATGGATGCATAGAAATTCCCACTTGTGCTGGAGCAGAAGCAGGTGGGGGAGGAGCTGAGTTATGCTGGGTGCCCAGGAAAAAGACTGATGGGGGTGGGGGGCGGGTACCTGAGACTTGAAGGCAAGAGATCTTGGGTCGAGCTGTTGGCGTGTTGGACTAAAGAGGAATTTCCTTCTGACCCAGCAAATTCTACAGGGGCCAGAAGGAAATGGCACTCATGCCCTCACTGAACGTTTACTCTGGGATGGAAGCTGCAGATAGACATGAGGAAGGCACACTTCTCTCCCCTGCCCTCCGAGGAGCCCCCATTATTGCACGGAGGATGGACATTAGAACAATGATTGCACTACAGGTTGACACACAAGGACATACAAAGTGTGGTGGGGTCCTTATAGAGTTCGAGCCCAGAATATGTCAGAGGGACTGTGAGGGTGGGGGAGGAATTCGAGGCAGAGGGAAGAGCAGGCGCGAAGGCCTGGGTGTGACACAGCAGGGCACCTACAGGCCACTGCAGGATCCCGCAGGACAGCTCTTAGGGAGGGCACATGCCTGGGTGGAGGGCAAGGCAAGTCGTATCACGGAGGGGGCGGAAAGCCATATTTAGGAGCTTTGACTTTTACCTTCAAGGATACAAGCAGCCACCAAGGACTTTTAGGAAAGAAAGAAGCATGATTATATCTTAAATTTGCAAACCAAGCTGTTTCTTTCAATATTGGCATCCCAGCGAAAAGCTGAATGAGGTGGCAGTGGGCTTGTCAGAGAGAGAGCACAGTGGAGCTGGGGACCAGGCAGGGGCTGGCGGGGGCCCCAGGAAGTGATGACCGGGTTTGACTGGTGACCTTGGCCTGTCTGACCATGTCCTGTGGAACAAACAAACAAATCCTTGAATACCTTTGTCCTGATGAGCAAAGAGCTGTTTCATTTAATCCTTAAACTAACTTGTGATTTTGGCATTGCTTCTCCCATCGTGCAGCTGAGTAAATGAAGGTGCAGGGTGGCTGAGGAGGTGCCTCCGGCCAGGCAGGTGTGAGTGCGTGTTCATGTGGAGCCCTGAGGGGTCCAGGCCCCGCTCCATCCTCATCCTCGAGGGCCAGGGGAAGGGAGTGGAGCTTATGACGCCCAGTTTCCCATGGTGCATCTCCTTGGGCAGCTGCGGAATGCGCGTTCTCATACCCATTCGGTGTCTGCTGAGGAGGAGGGTGTGGGGAGGCCCAGAAAGCCTGTGTGTTTCCAGGAGGCTCCCTGTCCCCCAGGGAGGAGGCAACAGGGTGGACCCCCAGGTTGGTAGGGAGATGAGGGGCCCATGGCTTTCATCACAAGGGAAAGCCTAGATCAGCACATATCCATCTCTCCTTCTGGAAAAACCGCTCCCAGGACATGCCTGACTGCCAGTAACACTCAGCAGTTGGGCAACCTGGCCCCTCAGGGGCTGCCTTTCTTCTGCAGTTTCCGTGATGAGAAAAAAAGGGATTTCTTAACCACTCAGCTGTAGGAATCAATGGGTGGAGGGGACTATGGTGAAATGGGGTACAGCCCCACCCCACCCTGCAGGGCTGCCTGCTGGAGCAGGACCCTGGGTCTTGGGAACTCTGTAGGCAGCCGCACCTCTGGGGTTGGGAAAGTGGGATGCCTTCTACGTGAATTCTTTGGTTCTTCTGATACCTTAACTTACCCCATACAGTGCGCCAGCTACCTTGACAAGGGTTTTACAACTGGACCTGATTTTGTCTCCTCAATAACCCTGAGAAGTAGGTACTGATTTCTTTTTCTTATG